CCTCGGCCCCGGGCGGCCGCCCCCGCCGAGGAAAGCGGCGGCTGGTCTGGCCAGCAGCTGGCGGGAGGAAGGTAGGAGCCGGGCGCCCTAGCCCGCTGGCCCGCTGGGTAGGAAGGAAAGCGTTGGGCGCGGTGGCGGGTGAGCCAGGGCGGCTGAAGGGCTTATTTTGCCTTCGTCTGCTTTACTGGTTCAAATTGAAAAACATTTTTCCTTAATCTACTGTTAAGGAAATAAACCCTGAATCGCTCACCCGGCTGCGGGCAGATCCAGACTCGAGCTGCGTGCGCTGCCCCGCGGGTTTCGTTTGCAGCACCTCCAGCTCCAGAGGTGCGAGGAGGAGAGTCGCGTCTGCGGGCGAGAGTCAAGCGTCCCGCAGCTTCGCCCAGAACCCTCCGGACTCCAGACCAGGCCCGTTGGGGCTGGAACCTGGCTGCGCCGGAGAGGGAGTGGCAGGCGCGGGGAGTCGGGTCCGAGGCGCCCCGCCTCTGGGGGCGAATACTGGTGGCGAACTTGACTGGGGTAGCAGATTTCATTGTAATGGCATTTACCTGCACCCCATCCGCTCTCATGTTTGCTTTTCCAGGACTGCTGCTTCTCCGCTTTAGAAGCCCGGCAAATTAAAATAACGTGTCCGCTGCCCCGCGGGCGGTGGGACTGGGAGCTGGGGCGCAGGGTGGAGCTGGTGGCCTACCCGGACCGGGCAACCGCTGGCCACTTTCGAGTATTCAGGGTTTCTCTCTTTTTATGCCCTCGGATTTCATTACGATACTAGACGATATGTTTAAAATTATATTTAAAGAATGAGACCCCAGCTGCCTGAAAACCCAGGCCAAGCCCATTTGGTACAACCACAACGCGGAGCTCTCCAGCACCGGAGGAGGCCAGAGGCCGGAGGTTCGCAGCCCCAGGCTCCGAGGCTGCTCCGGAAGGCTCTCTCTGAGGATCCGGGGTCCAAACCAAAGAGCAAGTACAATTCTGAGAACTGTGGAACTTCATCCTTTCATTTTAGACTCTCTTGCCTTTGCTTGACGGAGTGGTGTGTAGTCGATTCGCAACTCAGTTTCCTGGGCATACATTATCCAGTATTTGATGTTGTTCGAAGAATTGCCCAAGTTGACGGAACCTAACAGAAACCCACAGATCCAGTCTCTCTGCTGTGTGGGGTGTTCGGTGTGCCTGGGAAGTGCCTTGTCAAGGTGGGCATGTCCCTAGTCAGCACATGGAGGGTTTGTGTGTGTGGCTTGGAGATGTGTGTGTATGCCTTGTTAGGACTGAGGGTGTTTGTGTGGATACAGCATGGATGTGTGCACAGACCCTGCTGTATCCACGCTGTGTGTGTGTGTGTGTGTGTGTGTGTGTGTGTGTGTGTGTGTGTGTGTGTGTGTGTGTGTGTGTGTGTGTGTGTGTGTGTGTGTGTGTGTGTGTGTGTGTGTGTGTGTGTGTGTGTGTGTGTGTGTGTACCAACCAGGACACATCAGCAGAGCCCAATAACTGTCCAAAATATCTTCTGCAACATCATCTGTGGCACCAATGCTTGGCTTTCAGGATCTCCCAACCAAGTGGCATGTATTTTCTGCCATCACAGGGAAGTTTAGAAGAATAATTCCCACTTGAGGTCTCTCTTTCTCTCCCCGTCCCCCACCCCTCTAAAGTAAAACTATGACAATGAGAAGTGAAGGGAGCTAGCTGAGGGGGGCTGGAAAAAGAGGGAACTGCTCAGGGCTGCTGAAGTTCACCCTCTTCTTCTTCCTGCCACCACCCCAGCCACCCCAGGTCCAAGTAAATTATTCACAGGTATTCAATTATTCATATTATTATTAATAATAATAGCCAATACATAAATAAAAGCAGTGCCTGAGCAGGCAGGGACGGGGTTGCTCATGAAAGGGGGGGCACCTGGTTATTTCAGATGCCTGTGAAAACTCCCCCGTCCTGTGTGGTGCCAACGCCCTCCAGGCTGCTCTTCTCCCTCCTGTGCCAGGCTGCCCTTTTTGGCTGTGGCTCTCCATAGGCAGACCCAAAGCTATGGAGAGCTCCTTTCTTAGGCCAAGGCCCTTCATCTTCTTTTCTGTCCCACCTGATGATGCCGATGATGGCTTATTTTGGCTCTGGGTTGTCTCCCCTTAGAGGGTAGCATCTCCCTCGCCTCTCGGCTTTTGGGCAGGTGTTTGGGAAAGTGTTTTGCACCCCTGACTCCTTGCCCCACTTGCTGGGACAGTGGCAGCCAGGACACCAGGCCCAGTCTTAACTGAGCTACCCTGTGCAAACCGCAGCATAAGCAGCGTCTGCCAAGACATTGATCTCTTAAAGGCGCAGAGCTGGATCCTTAGACTCCTACCTTTCCACCACAGTGGAGTGTCAGGGATAAAATAACACAGACAGGTATCTAACTCGTGCAATACAGGAGCAGGACCGCTGAGAAAATAGTGTGGAACATGGTCACGCTTGCTCTTTGCTCTCCTCACCCTCGCTATGCTAGGATGACTTGAGTTTTTCTTTTTTCTTCCTTTTTAATTTTTTTTTTAACCTTAGCTCATCAAAGAGAAATGTAATTAGGGCAAGATGGGGGCAAAGTATTACTCACTGTGACATTTAAGCAGATTTAAAACTTTGTCTCCAAGTGCCACTTCATGGCCACAATTATTTTATCCATTGAGAGAGAGAGAGAGAGAGAGAGAGGGAGGAGGCTGGCCCATTGAAGTGGAGTCTGAGAACAGTTGCTTCTTATTTTCTCTCTGGATTGGGAATTGGCATTTTGTTACCAGCTCGGCTTGGGGGAAGCACCATGGGAGGTGTCCTGGGTCAGGCAGGTCAGTAGCTCAGGCCTTGCCATTGCCTCCTGTTCCTTTACTTTTGTGCTCTTCTTCTGCTTCCTGGAGAAGAGGGGAGCCCTCTTTTTGCTCAGCTTCCTTCCAGGTGGGCTGCCATTCCTCTCCTCCCTGTAGCACCTTCTGATCCACATCCTGAAGCCCTGGACATGGCCACACACACCTTCAGACCTGCTCTGACTTTCCTGTCTGGGGATCTTCTCTCTCTTCATTTGTGTAGTTGAGGCCAGGAGCACAGTAATCTGGTCCCTTGTCATCCCCCTCCTCTGCAAGCCCTCTCAACTGTGATGGGTATACAGTAGTTGCTTGGTATGGGGTTTGTAGACACCAGTAGCTATTCTGACTCAGGGTGGAGGGTCTGTGCTGTGTGTTGTATTTATTTCTCTGGGCCCTAAGAATGGGGATCTACAGGGCTGCCCCAGGCCCATTGTCTCCCAGAAGGAGCTTGATATCGAGGATGAGAGCAGGTGGGTTAGAATACACCCAGCAGTACAGCCTCTTGAGTTTGCATGAGCTTGTAGGCCTTAGCACTCAGTCATTCTTGCATCCACCTAGCCCTTCTAAGCTCAAGAAGAAGGTCAAGCTTGTGAAGAATTCACTGTCTAGCCAGAGAGATAGTCAGACCAAGTTAAAAGCCCCAGAACAGCAAAGGGCAGCAGATGGTTAAATGTCTTCCTGGCCTGAGGAGTCCCACATATGAGAAAACCAGAAATAACCCCAGCTGCTTGTAAGGACCTTCTGTGGGGTTATAGCCTGGGCAGTTATGAAGGTGGCATGCAGAGGGTGCTAGGTTGCCAGTGAGCAGGGTGACAGCCTAGGCTTAGGGTCAGAGGGGATGGAAGCAGTGAACTCTCCAATACTATAGGAGACTAAGCTGAAACCAGCTGTGGGCTACACTGAACTCTCCTAGCAGAGGCCAAGTTTCCAATTAAACTTCTTTGTGGACTGACTGCTCTGCCCAGGCCTGAAGGCAGCAGGGAAGGCAGGCTGGAGGTAAAGAGACTCTCTTGCTGTCCTTAGAGAGCTCCTGTATTGTTTGGGCAGAGGCTGACTCAGAGAGCCCTAGGACAACCACAAGCAGCCACCAATGGAGGGACAGGTTAAAGGAGCAGTCTGTGTGGGCCATGGGCCTCTGAAGAAGGTAGAGTGCATGAGAGCACCGGCACCCAGAGAGGGCTCTCTAAGAGGACAGA